AATGAAAATTGTAATACCTTTTGTGTGAGAACTCGAAGACAAAGTATATCTCGCTCTTTCCTTTGTCGAACACGAGCTCTAACCTGTCATTCTATGTTTTGCCTAATTTGTCTTTCAAATTAAATTGTGGTTTGTTTGCCGTCTATAGTGTTCTATGGTTGCAGATACAGCATGTTTTTCAGGGGGAAGTAGGTCACCCCCTCCCTCTGTTGGACATTCCCCTGACCGCTGTTTCTGACTATGCAGGCAATTCACTATGAAGGAGTTTTGTTCATACGGGCATTTCCCTGCTTGATGCTTTGTGTGGGCGAACATTGGTGAGTAAAATGATCAACCAACCTTAGGCCCTACTTTGCACGTAAACTTAAACATTCGTACAGCAGAATTGAGCGTTAGTATCATGGAGGGGAATGTGTGCTTTACGAAAGAGAAATATCCAGTAAGATAACCGCATATATCGCCTCCCCCAACTGTGCATCAAAGCAGCAAAAGAGAAATGTTCTCTTGCTCCAAATGTTCGAGCACGGGAATGCCATCCCACAGAAGTTCAGGCGTAAATAAATGTGCTAAACATCTAAGGTCATATAACACTATAGGAAAGTATACGAACGGGTGGTGATGGGTGATAGTTGCTATGCATCATCTATCTAGAGTAATATTGAAAGGTTAAAGATGGGTAAAAGGAGTTAATGAATGAATGGGTTATGGTGGTTTAGTTACGGGAATTAGATCAAGTGAAGGGTACGTATGCGTCTTTCGATGACCTCTAGGAGGAATGGAGTAGCACTGTACTGATATCACATCACGGTCTTTGAAGTATTATCCACAATCAGACGAATCAATATCCATAGGGCATCTTGCTGGGGAGATAAGAGACAGTTCCGGTAAAAGCATTAAGAGTTGGATGAGGTTCTGCAGGAATGGGGTTACCAGAGGGATCAGTTAGGTTTGATAATGCTATAGCTTCAGTTTCAGATGCAACTGTAACGAAACGGGAACGATCGGGTCGGGTACGGAAGGGGACTCTGCCCACTTGCTTTTGGAGACATTGTTGAAAGAGAAGAGTGTTGCCTGAGCAAGGAGCTGTAGAGGGGATCACGAAAAACTGGTCCCATTTGGCTGGGCTAAATAGAGTATTAATAATTTGTAGTGGGGTGGTATATGGCCGGAAACGTGTGGAAGTGGGAGTATTGTTGAGGAGGATAATATTACGGAGAGATGGAGAATAAGGCTGTAAGGTAGTAATACGGGAGGATGGGGTGATTGATGAAGGTTGTATGGGGTAGAGGTGATGAAGTTGAAGAAGTTGGGAGAGTAGGAATGTCTTCTGGAGACTGAGTCTCGACTTGGGTGAATACTGTACTAGTAGGCATTGAGGAGTCGGTAGTTGTTGCTGTGTTCAGAATCGTGGTCAAAGAAGAGCCTGGGGTCGGGGAGCCGGAAGAGTTTGAATTGGTGGGGCTATTTGATGATGGGCGAGCCTCATTGCCCCTTATAAGTGTATTACGTCCTCATTACTGGCCATGGGAAGCCTTGACCATATTGGGGGAATAAATAGTCCACCCATCAGGATCCCCTTGAGGGGTAAGGGGTAGACAACTAAAACGGGAATACCGTGCCCATGGTTCTCTCAGGCCGTTCAGGACTGGCACAAAGTCAGCCTCTCATGCTTTCAGCACGACTCTTACACCTTCGGAAGTAGATAGTAGAAGAGGTTGGAGAAGGGACGGAAACGAAAGAGTTGGAAGGAGAAAAAATCATGCAAAGTTAGTTGAGTCGAGTCCCAGGTCTCCTAATCCAACCCCCACGACAACAATGGACAAGGGATTAGGAGGGGAAACCCTACAAAGGAGAGTACCTACATGCAAAAAAAAAAAAAAAAAAAAAAAAAAAAAAAAAAAAAAATGCTCGCTAAACAAAATATGATTGCGTAAGAAAAAAGTTGAACTGTTTTTTCAGACATCCATTCGTCCAAGTCGAAATAAGATTTGTCCAGTTTCTGCAGTAGGATCAATAACTCATCTTACTACTTGTCTGCCATAATCTTTTGGACTAAAATAATTACCTGACACCTGTCATTATTTTGCGCAATGCTGGTGTATCTCCTTTCGCTTCGCTTTTTTTTATCTGAACATTTTCTAACTGTACATTTGGCTCCTGTGTTGTGTGGAAAGAAATTGGACACAGGCGCTGCTTACAGAGAAAAATCTCGCATAAACATAAAAATACTCACAAAAATTAGGCATACTGAATATGCTCCAATGTATTCTATAACGAGTTATTATTTTCTAACAACAAATGTCTTTTCTGTTCAAGATGAATTGCCATCTCCAGTAATCTTAAGAAATTCGGCTTTGAAGTTTTTAATATACGAAACTGATGCCGATCCCGTGGACTATACAGGATTAAGTTCATATTCATCATGTTTATCAAAATGCCCTTCTTCTAATAATGTTATTCATATAATGAGCGAGATGTCATCATAAAAAAATCTGAATAACTATGAACACATTCCCCTACAACAATACACACTATCATTTTCTTATTTAAAAAAACCGCATTAAAACTTCTTTTTAATAAATTTCCAATCAGTGTCTTCAATCAACTTCACATATAAAATTATTGCATTTATGCAATCTTAGCATCATTTCATTGCTTCTAGATATATGTAACTGTTTTGGTAGTGCTGAGTTCACTTACATTTTTTCAGCTAAACTCCTTCCCTTCTGAAAGCCTGGAGCAAATCATATTACACAATCCAATGCAAGTAAAAATGTTTTGAAAAAGTGTGCTTCACAATGGTACTCATTAATCAAATGTAAGTGTATGTATCATTGATCAATCTAAGAAATTTGACACAGAATTTCCCCCAAAGCAAATCATTGTTAATAGCCTCGTATATGTCATTAAAATCAACTTTTTATATACAGGAAAAGGTAACAGAAACAACCACATATCAAAAAGTTATTTACATAAATATACAAATTCAGTAAACACAGACAACCAGCCAGTGAATACAGCCATTCTATTCCCATAACTCTGGTATTGAGATACAATGTTATTTCTATTTAAGCAATTATATTCATTTCTTAATCTTTGCACTCTTCATAATAGAGACATAACATTTACTATGTTTCTTTAGCAATAGTATTCTTGTGCTTACTCGAGCATAACTAAGTATACAATGAAGGATTTTGTTTATATATGTATATATATATACAGCTGTTTAAGAGTTGATGCAATTCACTTTTTGTTTTACATATATGTGTACACATACATTATAAGAGAGAATCATTCATACCTGGTATATGGAAATGCAGATAATTCATATATAATATACTTTTGGAAAAATATTTGGCAATTAAAGAACTGTAAAACTAAATATATGGTTTTACTTATACAATGTCCAAATCACTGGTCTGTTACACCTGGCATAATATTACATACATACATTAAATATTATAACAACTTAACAACTCCATTAACCTCACTATTTCTTTTTTAAAATATCGACTCCTCTAATCTGAATCACTATCACTACTGCTGCTGCTGCTGCTCTTTGCATTCTTTCGATCTGTCTTTACCTGCAAAAAGAATATATTTCAGACATATTACAGTTCAAACCCCCCTTGATAGCAGTGTTGGTCAAAATTGCCTAATCAATTTTACTTTTCCGGTAATCAAGCAATATCTCAGCTCAATAAAACTCTAAATGACAAGTAATGTAAAGGAAAAAGTGGCAAGATCCCTTAATTTTAAAGTTGAAAAATCAAAACAAAAATAATCAAATCTATAAAATGACAAAATTGACACAATAACTTTTTTTTATATTTTTAATACCAATATATTTACCTTTTCTGGGATCGTGTATGGGAATGTTTTGTTTGACATCTCCAGGCCTGCTTTTAGTCTGGTGAGAGCTGTTGTGTTGTAATCTGCCAGTGAGAGGTGCTTCAGGCTCTCCTCCAATATTGACAGGCCTTCGTCATATTTGCTTGTGTTACCTGGACATAAATTAAATGAAAAAACAAGTAATATTATTAGAAAAAAAAAAATATATATATATTTATATAAATATATGTCAAAAAAAGAGAGAATAGAGTTGTCTTACTTCTTTTACAGAAAATAGAGAGGAAGAGGTGGGGAAGAAGACAGAAGGGGAAAGGAAGAAGGAAGGGGGATGTATGCAGAACAGAGCACAAAGAAAGAGAAGAAAACAAAGTAAGAGAGGAGGAGGAGAGAAACAGATTGAGAAAGGGGAAGAGAATGAGAGTGAGAATATTTATGAGAGAGTCAAGAACCAAAAAGAGATACAGACTACGAGGAAAAAAATACTGAGAGACAGAGATACTTAACTAAAGATTTTCTTTGAGAAAACTACTTACAAAGGATATCAACCCAGCAGCTGTATACCAATCCTTTAGCAATGCTGGAAGTATCTTGTCTGGCATTTAATGTTTCACTCAGTTTTGCCACTAAGGTTGTATTGTGATTCTCTCGAGATTTCAACAATATTTTCTTGAACATGATGCGTTCATTTTTCCCAGTAAGATATTTGTTGTAAATCTGTTAAAAAGAAAAAAAAATGGTTATATGTGCTACATGATACACCAGTCTTTTATTTTTTGTAAATGTTGGAAAAAAACAGCTAGGAATATCTGGCAACTGCCTTTTATCAACATTCTTAAACACTTTTTTTTTTATATATGTGTTTGTGGTTGGGAGGGGGATTGTATGTTTACTAGCTTACCTCCTGTGCCTCTTCATGTCGGCCTTCACAGAAGAGATGCTGCCAAAGACTGTTTGCAGGACCTACAAAGCCCTTTGCAGCATACTTGTCACTCAGCACCTTCACTGGAATGTTCATACCAATTATATTAACATCAACAGTCTTGAGAATAATGATTTTGGAATGAATGTTCAGCACTTCAATATTACATCTTTAAAACATTTTTTTTTATGGCATAGGCAGATTCACATTTATCTTCAAGATATATTTTAATACTAAGGCATAAAGAGAGACATAAAAGGAAAGATGGAAAAAGTGTGCATCCACACATATATACACACCCACACACACAAAACACCTCAAGAGAACTTCATCACAACCCATGGTTACCTTTCTCTACACTGCTGGGCTCCTTCTCCATGAAGCCTAAAATGCCACCTCTAGGGAACTTCTGCTTGAGGTGTGGGATGTCATCCTCAGAAGCTGTATCGATTTCATGGATAAGGCCATCCAAGCATTCATTCACACGACCACTTGCCAGGTATGCGTTGCTGAGTCGATTGTCATACGAGACATTTTTCTTGACTGTCTGTTATGAGACAACATGGTTCTATATATGGAAACCTGAACTAATTATTCATGTGAAAAAAGTGTCTCGAGTAAATTCTACTCCAGAGTATTGAGAAAAGACAACTATAAATCCTACACGCCAAACAATGAGAGGGGAAAATATATATGAAATAGAAACAACCTGACTCAAACTTACCTCTGATATGTACTTCCCGAAGGAGGTCAAGTTCTCCACATCGCCACCTTTAGCCAATTCATTAATGAGATACTTGAAGATACGTGGAATGGGGTGAGCACCAGCCACTAGCATATCCCTTGTTAACCTTGTTGCTTCAGTCAGCTGATTTTGCTGGACCAGAGCCTCTATCAGTTCTGACTTCTCGCGTAAATTCAACTGTCCTCCGGATGATTCAATTCTACAAGATATATCAAACTTCATAAGTAAAAACATAATAAAGGGCAAAGAGGTATCTAAAATCATGAAACATACGAGTTTAACCCCCTATGACCTGGATCATGCTACCATGGAGAAAGTTGGCTAAGTGTGTGAGTGATAGGAGCTTGCAGTCATGAAGGCCAGGGCAATGGGAATGACTCGCCGCAAGTGCACAAAGTCTCAGTAGATATTTAGAAAGGGCACTGTCATTATTTCCATCAATAAATGAATGTGGAAAGTACTATCCATGAGCCATGACAGGAAGAATGCCTGCTCCATGGAGGATACTATTTCCATGCCTATCAATTTTGGGCCATGTGCAGGAAAAATGGCAAAAAATCTGAAACCCTTATGCAGAAAGAGAGAAAATAACATTGTGAAGGAGAGGCATGGAGTCTTGTCATTGCAAACCGGTGTTCATTGTGCCTAGCCTACAAGCCACACACCAGACAGAGAGGCAGCTCAAGTAAAGCCTAATGTCTGTGTTTTGGACCACGTGTGGATGATGAAGCACCTGGATCCAAGGGGTTAAGGAACATGATAAAAATCTACAACTCACTCTGTTTTCAGGTTTATGGCAGTAGCTAAGTCCTTCTCCTTCAGAGCTGTACGGAACTTTGACTTCGGCTGAGGTGGGGCAGAGGAAGGAGCTTTTGTTTCCGAAGGACTGGAAACCTCTATCTGTTCAACAGGCATAACAAAGGGTACTTCTCGGCTATGCTTCTTCAGCATTTTGCCAAGCTTCAGGAGAAAGGCATCACTTGGTTCAATACTCTCTTCTTGCATTGATGTCCAGATGCCCAGGGCCTTGTCACAGTCATTCTGCTTCTCTGTTTTGCCAATGAGAAGTAATGTAAATCATACACACAAAAAAAAAGGCAATATGATTTTTTACACATTTACAAAAAGAGGACCATGCTCTGTAGTAACAACTTTACTTATCTGATTTTCCTGATAAATAAAAATAAATAAATAAAAGTGTAGATGTTTGTACTGACATAGTGTCACAATCTATCTCTGTTTCTGAATGATATAGAGGTACAAATACAGGAAAAAATACAGAATTTTTTGAGGATTTTTGCTACTCGTCACATACAAAGGAAATTGAGGCGCTCTTGCTCTTGCATGCAGGTCAGCAACTATAATTTTGTCATATACTGGCTGTATACTTCTAAAATGAAGTGCAACTTTCTATCTGACAGATAAGTACTTGAAAATAAAGAAAATACAACAAAAAAGTATATCACAGCATAACATGGAACACATCTGTTAAAGGATTGCAGATGTAAAATAAGAACAGTTCTAATAATAATATACAATGTGAAATATATATATACAAAATTATATAACAATTAACATGTGAACTCATCTATCTATTTATCAATTTATCATAAATACATACCCCCAAAAGAAAGATTCAATATTCAATATCAACAATGAATTAATTCTAACACTTTTAAAAAATGAGACGGTGTTCAACTTCACTCACCATAGGCTTGAAGGAGATACATGAACATCATATTTCTATCAACATCAAAAATGTCCCGAGTAACAGCCACAAGATTCTCTAGCTCTGTGATCTTCCCTTCCTCCAAGTACCTCTTGCAGCGCTGTTCAAGCCTGTTATGGCGGGCACGCAATCCTGGAGTCTGAAAATGTTAAAAAAATCTCTTTCATAAAACTGTGTCACTACAGTTTTCAAAATCAAATTATTGGATAGAGTCAAGTGGTTAGAGAGAGACAGGCAGACAGAGAGGCAGAGACAGAGACAGAGGCAAAGAGGGGGAGACAGAAAGACAAAGAAAGAGACAGACAGAGACACAGACAGATAGACAAAGAAAGAGACAGACACAGAGAGACACAGACAAAGACAGAGAATCTTCAATATCTCATTTTTTCTGACAAAGACAGAGAATCTTCAATATCTCATTTTTTCTAATAGATTATAGCCCCCTTCACTACTGAAAGTCCATACCTCTAGGATTTTCTTGGCTTGCTTGATCCTGCCACATTCTATGAACCCAAACACCAGGTCGTACAAACTGTTCATCTCACCATGGACTTCAATGCTGAGGTCCATAATCTTTTGAAGCCTGCAAGGTAAAGGGAAGTCATTAGATTTTGTACGTCAGGCTTGGTGAAAATAAAAATATCTGGTAGAAGCAAAGTGGGAACATAGAAAAAAAGGATACACAAGCCATAGAGAACAACATCATAAATAGAAAAATGATCAAAACAGCAATTGAGTAGCAGCAACTATCAATAATAATAATAATAATAATAATAATAATATAAATAATAATTAATAATAATAATCATAATAGTAACAGTAGTCATAATAATAATAATAATGATAATAATAACAATAATATTAATAATAATAACAATAACTACAACAATATCAATAATAAAAGAAAAGAAAATAATGAAGTTGAGAGGAAGAAAAACAAAATAAATTAAAAAAAACATAAGGCAGGCAATCTCAGAATAGATTTGATTTTTTGAACAGGTGTCCACAAATCACAAACCATATGTATAAAACATATGAGTTCAATGAATGGCAAGTTGAATCATTGGCTGATACCTTCTTGGAGCGAGTGATATCAATCTTGCTCATAACCATGAACGTGACAAGAAAATTCTTAGAAAATCTTTCTTTAATTGAGTACTTACTTTTCCGTGTCCTCTAGTTTAATGCATCGCTGAGTAAGTTCGTGCTTCCATGGTGTTACTCTATATTCTTTGCAAATTCTTTCAAACTCTTCCATTGCTCCACTTAAGTTATCACTGCAAAAAGGGGAGAAAATCAATATCTCAACTAAAAAGGCAAATGTTGCATCATGTAATTAACAACAAAAACAACAGCATAACTAACATAAACAAAGCTAGAGCTCTTCCACATCAAGTACATCTTTAAACATTCTACTGGTGCTTATAACAGACTGTGCTATGAACATCCTCCAGAGACATTAGTTACACTCACAAGCACAAAATTCACTTACTTCACAAGATGAGCCTTTATAAGTGGTCCAAGGATAGTAGAAGTTGGTTCAACAATCTGTTTATCAAGCACAACATCCAAGAGGCGTTTGACGGAGGAGAGGTCACCCTTTTCTGCCACAACATTGACCATTCGCCAGCAGGAATTACTGACAACCAAGTCCTCCCTCTTCTCCACATGTTCAGGAGCATGGTCTCCTATCAGCTTTATGGCATCTTGAAAAAGATGTGTGGTCAGTTGCATATCTTATTCAGTTTATATGTAGTGTAGGTGTGTGGTCACTTGCATATTTTATTTAGTTTATATGTTGTGTAGGCTCTATATATAAGGTGTGTGGTCTATTGCATATTCTATTCAGTTTGTACATAGTGTAGAATGTATATGCATGAGCACAAGTACAATAGTAAATACAAAGGAAAACAAAGATGACTACTAAAACCTCCTAACACTGATATTATAATTTTTTTCACCTTTACTATTCACCACTATCATAATGAATATCTCAAACTCACAGAACACTTGAAACAACTAAATAAATTAATTAAAGATACATACATAAAAAAAAAAAAACTCACCATCAGTTCTTCCCTCTGTAAGCATCAGCTGTGCAATCTTCATCACTTTTAAGGGCGTCAGCTTTACATCAGGGTTTCTCTTCTGCATCTCTGCTAGCTCCCTCAGGGCATCATCCAGCTTGCCTGCACTTACATACATGTCGATGAGGAGGACTGACTGGCCCACACCAATGGGGAACTCCTCTGCCTCTAGTTTCTGGGGGGAGGGGGAAAAAAAATATGGCAACTATTATCAGCATCATCATACACATCCATAAGTATGAATTTACATATACATATACACTCACCCCTTTACTATTATATACCCCCACCATTTTGAAAGTTTACCCAATCGTGACAAGTGTCCCATATATGAGACACCCGAAAAAAATAAACAATGCCTGGCGTCCCGCCAGTGTGACGCTGTATCAGGCCTGCACTCCGATGCGGACAGACTCCAGGGAAGCTCCGCCCACCGATTTTGTATCCACCCGGAATATTTTTATTTTGGCTACAAAATGTACCCGTCGTGAATGGGTTAACATGGACCTAAATTTAGTATTGTCAAAATGAATTTGGTACATTGCTTGTTTTGACACTGTTCAGGATGTGCACATGGAATTTACCGCTTTGACTGGTCACATTATTGACTGTAGATTACTTTTGGTGAGTGTTTACAATGAACATAGTGTCTTATCAGATGATCTTGATTAGCAAAGAATGAAAGGTCTGTAAAGGTGTAGTCATGCTTGCAAAATTCCCAGCACCTTGCAATTACAGGATATGCAAAAACTCACTAATTCCATGTGCATACTGGTCACACAGTGTTACACATACTTTATTAGCATATGCTATTGAAAAATTAAAGCTTGCTTTAAATCAAACATTTGATAATAGATACACCTGTTCATATTAAATGTATGTCACTGATCTTTGCTTCAAAAAAGTTTATCTATATGCAAGTCCGTATATCTAAATATCTGAAATGAAACAAACAACAATGCAAGTGATGACATGCAAAATAGCTTTGGTTATCACAACCACAGATGTAGTCCACTTTTCTAGAAATATACTCAATATGATAAATAACAATTGGAAATTATCTTTTTATGAAAATAAAAAAAACACTTTAAAATTAGTAGTGAGTTTCAAACAATAAATATGATGGCTTATCTTACATTCTAGTTTGCATGTTCTTCTAAATAAATGAGCTGTGCACTTGAAACTAACCAATGCTTAGTGAAATTTGTGAAGTAGAATTCCTATCCTAGGAGTGCATGCACTTTATCAAGGATCTGTTAGGGATAAAGGTTCATGTGACCACTTTAAAGCCTTGTGTAAGCCTGTGCACCCTTTGCTGACCATTTGGTGTACCTGTCAATCCATTCAATATCCATTCAAAATGTGAGTAACAGCATTTGGCATCTGGTAAATATTATTCTTACTTTTTTCCAGGAAAACATTAACAAAATGTATATAAATACATATGTGGGTACATCAACCACCTGATAACCAATTATTCATGTTAATTCTTAAATTCACCTATCTTGATTTTTTTATGATATGTATGTGAAAAATTTGGAAAAAATAGTAAAGGGATAGGTCTGTATGTGTATACATAAAATTAATGTAAATATTCTTCTTTTTCTTCTTCTCTACTTATTTATTAATTTTGCAGTTTTCTATTCTTTTAAGCTGAAAAAATAAAAATAAACTACGCATATGCACATATAAATCATATTTGTACTGCAGTATCTGTGCCTCATTTCAGTTCTTACCCTCTTCACTTCCTCTGCCTTTTCTACTTGCTTATTACGTGCATATGAGATCAGAAGCTGGCTTAGTACTGGGGTCCCTGGCATGTTTTTGATCTGCATTTCGGTCAGGCGGCGTTCCAATTCTGCTATGCTCTGTGTATTCTGTTGGAAGAAATTTCAGATTAGTAGAGATTCAGTCAGTTTTCTTGAATATTTTCCAGTCACGAAAGAATGTGATGAGACCAAAAAGAAAAATTGTAAAGTAGGTATAGAGATACAGTATATCTGTTATGTTAGAAGGAAAGCCTGAGTTAATTTCACAAACACACTGAGTCAATGAGGGACACTGCACAATAAAAAACTTAAAAGCCAATTACCCTTCTCAAAACATTTACATTTCCTAGTCAACACCATCACAAATGACTTACCAAGGGACCTTGATTTTCTCTTGAAAGTGGCTGGAGGGTAAGGTCTCCTGATGAGAGTCGTTCTAACAGACTAGTGATAGTGCTGGTTGCATTTTCGCCAAGACGAGCTTGGATGTCAGAGGCACAGTTACTGCTGATATTTATACCCCTACTTTCCATAGCCTGCCAAATAGGTAAAAAAATGATCAGAATGCTTTTACTAAATGTGGTTAAAACAAGAATGAACATTTATTAAAAGAAAATGTATCTTTTGTCTTCAAAGCTGGGCCTACTCTTTAAGGACTATATAAAGCTGCTGTTGTTGAGAGGCACTAAGGGATCTGTCAGGTGAACTCTATGAAAAACTTGAATTTGGTAAGGTAATAATAAAGAATAATTCCCTTCCGTTTTGGTTTGCAAAAGAAATGCAAACGTTGATACTAAAAAAACATTGTGCAACTGCCATCTCAACCAGGTTTATGCCACTTGTGATAAGGAAATTTCATACCCTTAACAGTTGTACTAAGTCAAAGAAACTAGTATACATATATACTTATATATATGATAAAAAAAAAATCAAATCAAATAGAACAGATCTGGGGTGAAGGTTTACTTAATTACAAAGTTTAGAGTTCTTATTTTTTTAAATTGTGGGTTATTCACATACCGAACAATTTTTTGTTATGAAACTTTCAGCCATCTAGACATATTGACACTTGCATCTATTCATCTATCTATATATATAAATATAAAAACTCAGAACCCCAACAAAGTGAGAGTCCAAACTTACCTGGAGCAATTTCTCCAATCTTTCAGCCACCTGGGTGTTCCGGGTGAGGAACATAATATCCAAAAGAAACATCCCTGCCACATCCTGAGGTTCCTTGGCCTTGGGTTTGCTTTCTGCAGAATCTCCCTCGATGTCTGCTTCTCCAGCTGTTGAAAAAGGAGTAATGAGTTCCTAAAGCCATGCAATCCCTTTCCATACTTCAAGGGACAATTATGTGTGTGTGGCCCTGCCTTTTCTCTTTACAATTTCAAAAAATGCTTTTCACAGTAACCTGAATCCCTAAAACTTATTTCAGAAATATAATTTAAAAAATTAAATAATAAATTGTGATATTGTGTATCATATAGATGTCTCTTGTTCTTTTAATCATCTTTGAACTAATTATAGACAAACATTTTCTATTACTTTGTTTTATTGCAGGTAGGCTCATCTATCAGGTTTGTTTCCAATGACAAGTTTCACCTAAATACATCGCCAAAACAGATCTCTTTATCTTCTTCATAAAAGCATCTCATGGTGCCTCATTTAACCAGTGTATACATGAAACATTTATGATATAAGAATTCTGATTTCTACAACTGTCTCCATTTCCCTATTCCCCTCCTTTTTTTGCTCCATTTTCTATGGCAGTGGTAACTTTTTCCCCACCTTGATGACTCCACTATCAGATAGCCATGTGACATACATTTTCTGTAGTGTAAATCAGAATGTTACATACACATTAAAAATAAAATTGTCCATGCTGAAATATGAACATTTTGTGCTTTTTGCAGCTTGGGCAAGGTTGGACAAGAAATTGTGGTCTTTAGAGATTAATGATGAACTATTACCTGTTTCCTGGTTGTTAGTGACCATCTGGCCCAGGACGTTGACAGTTGCAATGGCTTCTCCTGTCTTCACAAAGGTAGTCGCTAATTCCCTGCGTAGAACTGGGGTGACTCTTGTTCTGTATTTGGATACTGTGATAAAAAAAAAAGGAATCTGTGACCTTTATGGATCTGCTATAATAGATTTTCTAGTCTTGCAGTAGTATGTGCGTTGTAAAGGCACCTAAACCTCAAATAACTAGTTCAGAAGCTTAAAAAAACATTAAATAATACCAACAATATTACTGATAATAATACACGTACAAAAGCAGCAAATCTTCCACTTCCTACTAAATAGTCACACACAGATACTCACACAAATCAGCAGCTGCCACTACGTCACCACTGTCGAGGTGGTAAGCAACGCAGCTGTTGATGATGGCTGGGACAGACATGCCGCAGTCCTTCAGAGCGGAGATCAGAGCCTCATGGTCTACCTCCTTGTCAATGGTTCCAGGGATCACATAGTCCTTGAAAGTTTCTAAGGTTAAGGGCACCTCAAGTGAGATCATCTCCTTCACTGTGTTGTAAACCACTGGAAAAAAAATAATGGTACTAATGATAAGAAAATTAATAAATACATTTCACATTCCCAGTATAATTAAGAGAGACATAACCCTAAATCATGTGATTGATATGCATAATTCTCAGGCAAAAAAGCAAGACAAATACTTAAGTTAAGGGACAAAAAGTAGAAACAGAAATAGTTAATTAACCTACAGATGCTGTAAAAGCAAATATACATATGTCCACTGTGATTTAGTTTACCAAGTTTATTTATGCATAAATGGCTTTACAAGAGCTTAGTCACCGCCTTGATGACTAAGCTCGTCCAATCTAATCTCACCTATTTACCCATTTCCTTGATTTTCAGAGATTTGTTACATCTTATTCCTTAATGCTATTATCACTGACAGTAAGATGATAATCCCAATATCAATAATAACAATAATAAAAAAATGTCAAGAGGTTAATAGCATAAGAAAAAATGAAAAGGGGTACAAGAAGAGGCCAGATAGGCATATCAATTGCCCCTTTGATGGAATAAGTGCTTTTGGAGGCATCTATGTTGCAAGCAAAATTTACATAGACTAACAATACTACAGTGGACTAGTGCCAAGGGGTTAAAAGAAAGAGAGAAAATGGCATAAATATATTCAAACTCACTGTCTTTCTGCTTGAGTTTGCTGTAATGCACAATGATGGGCCAAAAGTAATGTGCTCTTAAGGGTGCCCCATCCTCCCTCATCACCCTCATCAAGGCAAGTGCTGCATCAGGCTTCCCAGTGTTCAGGGTAGCTTCAAGAGCTCTTTCCAGGGCATACATGTTCAGCCCTTCCTTCTTGAACTCTTGGCAGTAACTCACGACTTTGGAAACAGGCTGGAAAAGTTCATGAAAAGAATCAATTCATGGTTCCAGTCTCTTGTAAACTGTCATTCTTGAAACATTTTAGTTACAGAACTAGTTATCAATACTAATTATTAGAGTGGAGAGGAGGAGAATAATAATAATAATAATAATAAAATACATCTACATATAATCAACAATCCTAGTCAAAATCAATCGTGACATCTACTATCAAACACACCATTAATCTTTTCATCTTTTTTGTCAGGCACTCAATATTGTCAATAGAAGTATTTTGCATCTTTACACAGATGCACATAAAGAGAAATTATTTAAATCTATCGTCTACTATATGTCACAAATTTTTTTACCATATTAGATTTCACAAGATGTTTGATGAAGAATGTGCCAACAGGAGCTATCTCTCCCTCTTCATTCTGCGGCATGTTCATAGTACGGAACATCTCATAAGCAGCCTTGTCGCATCCTGCATTCAACAATCTGTAAATCAGGTTCATGGTGTCCTGCTGGTAACCAGACACCTTCTGCAGCTTCTCTGTCATCTGAAATTTCACCAAAGACAATTACAGGAAGACAGTTACAGGTCTTATCTCAAGAAAATTACAAATGAGCATGTGAATATCAACAAGATTAATAATAATGCCTTTCATAATTGTTTTATCAATGAGTCCAAATTTAAATACCCCCCAAAAAGAAAGAAAAATTGTATATGTATCTATTGAAATATATAACACACCTCTGTCACAGATCCATCATGACCCTTTACTGCCAGTGCATAAATAACCTCCATAAGCTCCCTGTCATGAAGGAAAATGTCAGCTGCTCCGCACTCTGCCAGCGTGGCCTTGATCCCTTCCATGTCCCCATGCTCTGCTAAGCCCACCATGAGCACTGTGTAAGTCTCTGAACTGGGCTCCAGACCAGCCCCTTGCATGACACCCAAGACACCTCGGGCACTGTCCATGTCACTGAAGATAAAAAAAAAAAAAAAAGGTCAAATCTTTGATTGTCTGAATGTCTAGTAAATATCTGTTCACTACTACAGTGAGAGAGAAAAAAGACTGCAACTTTGAGTACGACTATTCATTCCATATAAAGAATATTCCGTGAACATGAAAAAAAGTATATTCAATAAGAAGTTATTCTTTATCCATAGTTTAAAATACTATTCAGAATATACTTCATTCTCTAATGAACTACTGAAGAGAATTTTCTTACTTGGCCCTGGAATGTCCCATAATTAGAGCATTGAAAACACTCTCACTCACTGGTAATTCTTTTTCCTTCATAAATTCAAGGATTTTGCTAGCACCATCAATGTCCCCTTCCTGTAACAAAGAAATTGTTGCTTTTATTAGTGAAAATGATTGTACCTCCTTCCTGAAATGGGTCCTATCAAACACTATCATCATCACTGTTAACTATAGTACTAATTAGAGTTGTAACAGATACTTTCCATTCATGTTTAATTCACAAATATATTTTTTAATGAAAAATATTCACCTGACAGTATCTTGATATGAGGCGCTGATATGTCACTCTGTTTGGTTCAATGCCATTTTGCTCAAGCATGGAAAGAAATTCTGTTGGAGAAAACTTGTGCTCATTCTCCAAGTATACCCGAAGAAGAGCATTGTAGTGGCTGATGTCTAGTGGGATGCCTGTAGAACGTATAAATAAATTAATGTTATTCTGCACTATGAAGCTCTCCCAAAAATTATCTTGTAAATATACACATTGAAACATTACAGTCAAGACTGTCATTCTTGGAAACCAGTGCATAGGAATAGATACGGCAATATGACTTTGCTGAGTTACAGGGTAGTATAACATATTTTTTTCTAGTATAAGCATATGCCATAACTATGTTTATATCTATGCTATGAAAATCTACCACTGATATAGCCAACTCATAATATCTATAATGACTGTAATCAAAGAAAAAAAATGGACTCACTAAGCTGGTGAAGAGTTCCCCAAATGTCTTGCACTAATTTGGTTCTCACTTCAGGCAACTCCTCAGGTACAAGACTGCCACAGCATCGGATCAGGAGTAAACTTTGTGTACTTGTTGCGCACTCTGTGGATTGAACAATTTCATCAATGAAGGATAGAAAGCATCCCTCTGAATTTCTACAGCTATATCTTCTATAATATAGTTATATAAATACTTTTTCATGCAATGATACATATTTTCCTGCATAACTCTGATCAATGGATGAAAAAACTTTGTTCACCCATCTACCATCTGTGAAACAGTGTCTTTTGCTCATTTCATCATTGTATTGTCTCTTACTGTTACTTTTCTCTTAATGTTAATTTACTATTCACATCTTTATAATCATGTTCTTTACTTTATCAAAACCATAATTTATAATGCTCATTGTAAAGTATAAAAATAGTGTAATGTTAAAAACTATGTTCAATAACAAGAAAAATTCAGACAAAAGAGAACTTACTAAGGGATTTCATTTCTCCATATATTTCCTCGATGTCTTTCTTGGAAATGCGTCCTGTTCTCCGAATGTCTGTGTCAATACGGTACAGAGCTTTGTCCAGACCAGGTGTGGCAGCTTGTCCTGCTGTGGCATTTTCAAGAGGTTTCTGTGCGGCAAAGGATCTGAAAAAATGCAATACATATTGCAAACATTTTCTGGAGTTTCTTCAATCATGTTATGAAGCAGATAATGCTGAATTATTCCCACATCTGTCTTTTGTCTATTTACTTATCATGAGTTGTTCCTTGCAATTTTCACACATAGGTACACACAAACTGCAGAATGGTACTGTGGGCATGAATTAATTATGTCCAATGTCAAGAACAAGAGAAGAACAGTAGCCTACATATGCAATGAAATTATAATTTCTTGAAATCTCACAAATTTTGGTTAATTTATTTCTATATGTGAAGTGCAACCACTGTCAATCACCACACTATTTTGAGGTCAATTCGAGGGGTCATAATCTTGAGTGTGTTACATGGAAACTTGTATCATTAGCAGAATTTACTGAGTTATCACTCATCTTCGGGTTCTTTGTTCTACATTCACTAGTATTGTGAGCTCTTGAATTATGAAATTTACACCATTTCTTGACATTTTGAGGTTTGTTCAGGTTGTTTTCCCTTTTATATTCACCACCTTTGTAGAATTTAGATGCAAAATGGCCTGGTTCACCACACTTGAAACATCTCTTCTGTTTAATTGTATTATTACCTTGGGCAACCATTACTCTCTCTGTATCAGAATTTCCTTTGAGAGAATCTTCATAACTTCATATAGCTGTCTTTAACCCAAAGTAATCATATGGAGGGTTGCGTTGATTTGCTATATCAATAAAACTTCTATTTCTGTCCATTCAGATCACCACTAAGATACGATCACTGATGCTTTCACCTGCTTCTCTGAGTGCTGCTACTGTCTCCTCAAGGAATGAGAGATAGTCCACAGCACTGCCATCCTCCAGTCTTTTAGTGAAGAATGACTTTAAAAAAGCATATAACCTCTGGTCTTATTCCCTTAAGTCATGCTTTTGTAGTACTACCAAAGCCTTCACACCGTCTCCTCTCGCTTCACGTTTTATCATGCAAAGTGATGTTCTGTCAAGATAACCAGTTAAATAACTGTAGACTGTCTTTTTGGCACGATCCAGATTATAACCTTCTGGACGTTCTCAAGCATACTTATCAAGCACAAGATGTAGTTCCTGTATGTCCAAAGTGCCGAGGAAGTGCTCTTCCCACAAATCATATTTGTTTGCATCTCTATCAAACTGCTTAAATATGGGCCCATAACCTGTTGGCATAGTGGGAGGACTCATCTTCCCTGCGTGTATTAAGCAAGTTTGGCTTGTCAATGCATATAAGATTTTCTGTGTGGATCAGTAAAACAAAGAGTTGATGCGCTTCGTTCTATGTATTCAGGAGAATCTACGTGGCACTACATGGGTTTTTTTATATTACACGGAGCATAAAAATTTGCCGTAAGATAGCGTACATAAAAGAAAATATACTTTTAAATGGGTAACTTAACAAAATATAACTTTATTTAGTGTTCGATACTGAGTCTGTCCATCACTTTATCTTATTGTCAATACATGGAAAAATACTTTGTTTGGCAACTGTTACCGAGAGTGACACACCATCCCAAAACCAGGGTATCCTGTCCTACCTTCTACTTATTCCCTGGACAAGGGAGCAAGACCTAATAACCCCCGTTTATTAGCACTTTGTTCCAACCTATAGAAAGTGGACATTATGAACTCTGGCTGTGAGGCTAGACTGTAGAGTTTGGTCTGCAGGAACACATTCCCTGCGCAAAAATTATCTGGTCAAATTCTGTCCGCGCAAATGTAGTTCTCAGGTAACTTTCCGTGCACACTTAGTTCTTTTTGAAATCATCTTCTGTGTATAAAATTCTTTTGACCTGTCCAAGCACGTTTCATCATCCATCCACAGATCCGTCCGTGCAAATGTAGACAAAATGATGTTTTCCCCACATGAAAAAATGTAATATTCCATACGCAAGAAAAATACTCTTACAGTCTGGTGTAAGGGTGTTGTGGAGCGGTGATATGCAGCAGACATTTTTGTCATTTATTGGTAAATGAGAGACAGTTGCAGCTTAAACTATGTTGTTTCTTATTCTATTTCTTACGCTCTAAAAGATGGCATTGTCCATTTCCCTCTATATCCATGTATCGTTCTTAGTAACCTATACCCTGCCATGCAGTTTGAGGAATCCATCAATACCAAAATCTCACGAGATCCATTATGTGGTTCTCTTGTGTAAAATTACCTAATACTATGTGCAAGTAGCTGGAGTTTGAATTGCTCATTATAGGGTTTCCAGCCTGGCCAAAGAATACACTACGGGCAAAAATGTCACTACAACTGTTCTACTCTGACTGAGACAACTACTAAACCCTAGTGGATCCCTAGGTTACCTAGAGGCATCCATTTGCAATTATCATTATGCATTATTAGCATCAATTACTTATGACATTTTAAAACGGGCGGGTGTTTTGGAACTCGTACAAGAATTTAACACTCCATAGTTTATTTCTGTGGTTCTTAATCTACATTATGATTACTGCTCAAAACTGCATACAAATACTTGCTACCAAAATCAAAATGTTGTTACCGGGTAGGAAAATTGTATAACGTGACAATAAATCTCAAACTGCTCAGAAAATGGAAAAGTGGGCCTGAAATAGTATACGAGGCTTAAAATAAAGTAATGGATAAATTTAAGTTTATAAATCTTGAGAAAAACAAATAATAACAAGCAGCAGACGACGTCCCAAAGGTCCCATGCCGGCCTAGGGTGTGACGTAACACCCTTGTTACCCCGTCTTACCTCGTGATGGAAGCGTATAACTGTGTAGATTGAAGCTTCTGGATCGTAACGGCTTCATAACGAGGAGCATTAGAGGCTAACGAGTGCCTAAAACCGCTAAAAATCCTCAGAAAACTTCCTGATCTCAGGAGCGCCGCCATGCTTGTTGCGGGGATGTTCGTTCAGATCCGCCAGAAGTTGTGTTTTGTTTTTTTGTTATCATCATCTACATTCAATTCGTCATGATAATTATAAACTTAAGTGAATGATTGTGTGCTATAACTGTAATATAGTAATGGAGATCGGAGATATCTAAGTTATTCTTATTTCATAAATATGCTTGCCATATGTGAATGATATTGAGTAACGCAGAGGAAAATAGGCCATATGTACGACGAACGATGGTTTAAAATCCAGTACCCTTCGTCATATAATTACAAAAATTCACAGCACGTCTATTAGTGCGCAATATATTTCTTAAAGAATAAAGACAATATTATTGGCCATGCCTCATCTCAAGTTGGATAACATCGGTAGTGTGATTGGAAGTTTACCAGATGCAAACTGATGTTTTTGAGCATAGATAAATTCCTCCACACACACACACACACACACACACACACACACACACACACACACACACACACACACACACACACACACACACACACACACACACACACACACACACACACACACACACACACACACACACACACACACACACACACACACACACACACACACACACACACACACACACACACTAGTGGCCAAATTTTGCATTGGTTCTTTGAACATCCTTTCGTGCATCCTGGCTGGGGCTTCAGGGACCCATTGTTTGTGTGTACTATAGACGTAGATGTAAAAAAATCTTGCTTAGCTCAGTTAGCGAAAGTTACAAAAAATTGTACTTCATTGTGAGCAGTCCTGAAAATAAAAAATGCATGATGCCCTGGCGTGCAAGTTTCCCGAATCCGTTCATGTTTTGGCCAATTAAATGACCTAGTAGGACCATTTGGGTGTATGAATTTCACAAAAGCATAACTCTTTGCTCCTTATCAGCTTGACTAACAATTCCAACCCACCACTAGGCTTCACAGAGAGAGGTCATAAAATCAGCAACTTCAAATTTTATGATACAAGGTTTGTAGTGAAAATTGCACTAAATCACAGATGAATCATCACTGCATTTCTTTGCTGCAACAATACACTCGTCAACTTTAATAAATTGATGAAAAAATCTTGTTTTGTGATACAGCATATGTGCCTTGAAATCTCTTCTCAAGAAAATTAATTTTTTAATCGACCTTGTTCTTTTCAGCGAAAAGGATCTTTATCGAAGGGATATTTTCTATGCAGAAAGTGAATAGGTCATTCGGGGTTATTATTTGTTCTGCTGTACCTTGCTTCTGTACAAGCCTCTTCATCACGGGGCTATTTCCCGAGACTATTGCCATAGAAAGACTACTTTGCAGTGACGTTATTTATTTATTTATCTTTATTTAATTATTATTTTTTTTTATTTTTTTTTTATTTTTTGCTGATTGCACATTGTCACCTCAGTCATCTTCAGTGTTCTATGGTTTTCAGACCTGGTAACATTTTAAATCCTGCAAAATAAGCTCCTGAACTTCATGAACAACATCAGCATTAAGATTTGTGTCATCGCTCAAAATACAGTATGACTGGTAACAAAGCTTGTCATTTTTTTATAATAAACTACTGTAGGATTTATGATGAATCCTCACCAGTGACTAAACACAATGGTAACATTAAGACTGACATGTTGGGTAACAAGGTTGTAAGCTGTTTAAGGAACATCGTATTAGACTTGTTGGTACGGATTTGTTGGGCGACATGTTAGCAAACCTGGTGTGGACGAGGTGATGTCAGAGACCTCCCACCAACCAACAGACCAACATGGTGCGGACAGTTTCACCAAGTCGACTCTTATTGCCGACATGTCTCTCAACATTGTAACAGATATGCTACATATCAGATTTTAAATCCGAATGTCTCCTATTGTGTCCCCCACAATGTTTCCAATTTGTCTCCAAGCAACATGTCACTTGTGTGGAAGCACCCGTAAAATACACTGGAGGTTAGTCCAATGAAAGCTTTGGACTCTGAACAAATATATAATTTTCTGCAAATTCATCCAAAAAAGTGTCTCAGTTAGCTTCAACTGTTCTTTACGGAATTTTATATATTGGAATTGAGATTTCACAATGAAAGAATGCCTTGTCACATTCTTAAGTTGTGCTTCTACAAGACCTACATAGTTTGAAACATTCTCTTTTCTTTGAGTATGATTTGAACATACAATTGTTGTCCACTGGGAAAACTCATCTTCGAAGTCCTCAAGAAGGATATAATTGTGGTTCCTTGGATCATCCGACGTCTTTGGTCAACTGCACATCCGTGTATCATGAATTCCTTACTTTCAAAGCTGCACACTATGGACTTTTGAAATTTTGTAACTTTAGCTAAGTGAGTTGAGCAAGATTTTTATATCTTAACGTACAGTAAACGCCCATTCATGATGGGTCCCTAAAGCCCGAGCTAGAATGCACCAAATAACTAATGCAAAATTTGGACACTAATGTTGACACATCTGATTTCTTCTCGGTTTGTTCATAACATTTTCGTAATTTGATGTTCAATTGATGTTTTTTTTTTTCATGGGGCAGTTTACTTATGGAGGATTGCAGACACCAAGTCAAATTCTTCACAGTTGTCACCTCATCTGTCCTCTGCAAAATTAAAGTCAAAATTAATTAGGGGTTGGCTTGTCCTCGTATTTAGGGAAGGCAATATGTGCATACCACTTCTACCGAAAGCGATGAAGCACTGCATTTTGCAAACAGTATAGGGCATAACCTGTAAGGGCTAGAGCAATTTCTGCCTTATTTTTAAAATCTATATTTGATTACATAAGAATGTAGATTTTGACGGCGATGGTTTCTACCAATCTTAATCTAATTAAGTTTGATGAAAATCAAACAAGAATATTAAGGGTTTTGGGGGGTCGTGGAGCCCAAACCCATTGCAATATCAAAACCAAATTTTGGTGAATTGGTCATGTTAATTACTACACACAAAGTTTTAGTCAATTCTGAGATGGTTAACATTCACCTTTTCTGATGATTTGATGTACAATGACCATATATATATATATATATATATATATATATATATTATATATATATATATATATATATATATATATATATATATATATATATATATAATATATGTGTGTGTGTGTGTGTGTGTGTGTGTGTGTGTGTGTGTGTGTGTGTGTGTGTGTGAGGGGGGTCTATGTCTGTGTTTGTGGGTGTTTGCTTATTCGCGCGCGCGCGCGCGTGTGTGTGTGGTCACAAACACAGGGACACACAATCATATAAGTACGCATTCACATAAACACATGTACACACAAACATATCCAATTATATAAATATGTATATATATATATATATATATATATATATATATATATATATATATATATATATATATATATATATATATATATAGAGAGAGAGAGAGAGAGAGAGAGAGAGAGAGAGAGAGAGAGAGAGAGAGAGAGAGAGATAGACAGATAGATAGATTGACAGATAGATAGATGGACAGACAGATTGATGGGAAAACACACACATATACATAAAAAAATATATATATTTTTTTTCTAGTTTTAGCCAGTTTCACATAAATATTGTCATGTACGTTGTGAGTTTCAGCGACATGTAGCTTAAACTAAATCAATGTTCACTCCTCAGTGTGTGCAGCGTTACCAAGATACCAATTTCAAAACCGCGTTTTTGTCAACGACCTCGACATCAAATATTCAAAGCATGAATTTCCGGACTGCCGTCGACGCCTCTTTGCAACTGGGTCCTCATTGCGAACTGAACAGCTGACCGTCGAAGGCCGCTCGACCCTCCGCCATGCTGCGCTTGGTTGTTTACGCCCTTCTTGGCCTCACAGGTGCGTGTCCTATTACGTTGGATATTATCGTTATCTTTATCGTCGCTGACGGTATTACTTATCGTTATTGTTATTATTATTATTATTGTTATTATTATTGTTATTGTTGTTGTTATTGTTATTATTACTATGGTGCTAGGCCTACTCCTACTATTGACATTATTATTACCTCCGCCACGGAGGCTGTTTGCTAGTTAGTTTGTTGGTTAGCAGGATAACTCAAAAAGTTAGGCTTAGCCTAACTTGGATATTATCAAATATTGGTGATCCAGATCATGGATTAAGGAATTATTTAAATGATTGAATATTTACCCCTATTGCCAAGGCAATAGGGGTAACTAATATTATGGTAATTCCTTTTACTACCTCCGCCAAGGAGTTATGTTTACGGACGTCACTAGTGTACTTGAGAAAGTACACGTGATTCATATTCTCAGTGATCCATTGTAGGTATGCCCTTCTAGTTATAATTATCATTATTGTTGTTACGATCATCCTCATCCTCCTTATTATTATATTTTTTATAATTCTCATTATCATTATCAATATAATCATCTTTATTATCATCAATATCATCACCATCATCAGTACCACCACCTTCATCATCACCATTTTGTGATATTCGTAGGCCTATGTGTGCTAAATTCCGGGGCTGCAGTTCCTCTCTCTGCCGCCAAGCCGTGTTCTTCCCGCAGCTTACTTTCTTCGTTTACTTTGTAGGTACTTCGATAGATTTATTTTTGTATCATATTATGATTAGATGTATATCGAATAAATAAGAAGTTATATGAGTAGATCGAAAGCATAGAAAAGAAAAAAGGTTTTTTTTTTCAAAGGAAAATGATATTGTATGTAAATTCTACATATATGCAAGAGAAAAGCAATATATGTTAAACAAAAATAACCTAAATAAATGTATTCAACGAGGGATAAAACACCGGGTAAGGATAGTGATCGACGATTCTAGCAGCAGAGTGGTGTGTGTGTGTGTGTGTGTGTGTGTGTGTGTGTGTGTGTGTGTGTGTGTGTGTGTGTGTGTGTGTGTGTGTGTGTGTGTGTGTGTGTGTGTGTGTGTGCGTATAAACATATAAACATATACACATGCCAGTATGCCAGGCTGTCACCCAGTCATGCATTGACAGTGCAAGCTGCTTTACTTCTGATGTGCGGGAAGTATTGTCTCACATTTCTATGA